TCAGCATCACTTCTWCTCTAAACCCCGGCACAACTTTTAATTGGTACCAAGGGGCTCTGTAAAAAGCACTTTGTTTTTTCCTTCACTAGAAGCTAGAAGTGCTATTGTATTATGGTGCCAGCCATGAAAAACAAACCCATCTTAACCATTCCCGACATCTGTTACTATTCTGAGACACCAACCTGAGTCACAATAAGATCCTAAATAAGATGCTAACCACAATTAAAAATTATAACCTCAACCAATCTCAGTGTCTTCCTAAGCAAGTTTTAGACCCATAATTGAATAATACTTCATTAGGTTTAAAAAACATTTATGTGTGACTGTTGTATACGTGTTTTTAGTGACACTCATTTACATAGATCAGTAAAAATTTCAAATACTGAAAAATGCTGAATTGGATAAAAGATACCTTGCTCCATAAATGTAAACCTCCTTCTTTTGAGTACAAAAGATGCAACATTTAAGAGCAAAACCACACCCTTAGTTTTGACTAATTCAATAAATTAAAACAATATTGTCATAAAAAGGTGAGCCAAGTTCTTCACCACATACTTCTTTACTCTGCACATTCATGAAGTAACCTGATAGAAGTCAAATTGGCTTTTGATGTAATTCTGATTTATAAGTAAAGCACAAAARTTATTTTATTCGCTTGCTTCCTCTTAAGAGATCCTCATTGTAAAACAGAAAGAATCATGTCTGAAAAAAATAGATACATATCTTCACTTCCTCTTTGCAGTCCTTCCCAACTCTTTGCCAACTTGAAACTTGCATTATAATTTTCACATTTTCCATCAGGGCTTTTATTTTCTATACTTCAGAATTTCCATCTATATCACAAAATAGGGCATTCAAAACACCTGATGCAGCCAGAAAGAATCAAATTGCATTACTTTTTAAACTTCATCACTTTGAAGCTTCAACATATCTTCCTTTTATATACACACAATATGAAGTGTGGATGCATTTCAGAGCACAAAGACTTGCATGTGAATTTACTATGAAATACTGACATAGGTGTGAAACCTAGGAAGTTATTAAATGCAATCAGAATCCTTCTTTTGGAAGGAGTGACACTATTGACATGCATTAGCTCAAAARAATCTGATTGAATGACCAGGCTCAGTAAGTTGCTGTACAAAAGTTAATTTGTACTTGTTACATTGGTTGTTAGACAAATTCGTTGCAGTTCACAACTGTGATTGAGGTGAGGGGTGCACCAGCACATTAAGTCTCACACAGCCACCAATTATCAAATGGAGTGAAGAGACACCACATCCACTCTCCTTTCTAAGATGACAGCTAATCACTGAGAAGCCTTCAAATATCAGGAAATTTAAGGCATCACCCTCTCAGCAGTACCGCACATAAAGCACCACAAGTTCTCAGGCTACGATTTTGGTAATGCTGGTACATGTGCTAAAGACAGAGATACACAGGTACAAGACAAGGGTTCCCAGAGGTCAGAACAGCTGCCTCACCCCAGACCCTCCACAGTACACTGTAAGATTATTTCTACTTGGCTCAAGAGAAGCAGATGGATGTTGGATGCCTCACTAAGTCATTCCAAGGAGTTTCAACTGTGGTCACAGACACAGCAGCTTACAAAGAAGCCATCGTGACAGCGGTGATCCAGATACAGCTCTGTACATTCCAGACAGCATTCTCTCTGTAAAGTTCCATTTTGGATGGATCRATTTAACACACAAATCACAACCAACCGCTTAGCAGGCAAGGAAATTACCACAGACTTGCCTACAAAAGTCACGTTGGTACATCAGAAAAGCTATGAAGGAGACCATCATCCCCTATATAGACAAAATTTGTTGATGTAATGATGTGGGTGATGGCAGAGCTTTTCCTTCAAGGGCCATCTACAATGCTAGGTCTGCATGAGGTACTTTTTTACTGGGGTAATTTCACTCATACATAGGAGGAGTAGAGGGCTGAAAGACATCAGTTACTTTTAAAGGGAGAGGACAACAAAAAAAAAATCACATCTCTGAGAAGGAATAATAGAAGATTTTTAATACATACACAGGTCAGCAAACAAGCTAAGATGCTAGGCACACTGACAAAGGCATTACTTGACTGATTTCTCAGAATTCTAGACTTTAGCCCCACGATCACACATGTCTGACACTTAAAATGGTAAACAGGAGGAAGTTTAATGCAAATGAACATTGAGCTGAACTCTGATCCTGTTATTTCTCCATTTTTACAAAAACAGACTTAAATGTCACTGATTCACAGTAAAAGCTGACACTAAACCCTCAAACAATGTTACACATCTATAGACTGGCATGTGCAAAGGTTCCAATGTGCAGCAATAATAAATTATTCACAGTGATCAAGAAGTAACTTTTCAAGCAACAAATAATGTGAGGAATCTATTTTCACTTTCAAAGTTTTCTTCCATAAAAGTATTAAATCTTTAGATATTCTATTTAAGAATAATTTTAACATTAATTGATATAAAAACATTTCTTTCACGACAGTAATATTTTGACATATTATAAAGGTTTTTTTACACTGAACACTTTTATATAAATTATTTCAACTTGTGGTGAAAACCACAAAGAGAAACAAGAACCAAAACAAGAACCTTGGCTAAGAAAGACTTCACAGCACGGAAGACAAGGGGATAATGCATGTTATAAGTAAATATAATGTAAATAATTAAACTTTAACAATCCTGAGAGGTGGCTAAGTCTCACCACACCTATTTAACATGTTAATCATAGCTTTTCTGTTGCCCTAAAGAATAATAATGTCATTACAAATTCCCAGACAACAGCACTGAGTGCATGTTTCATAAGRGCTGAATGCTATCAGTTCTACACACTGTGCCACTGATAGCGTGCCTTAATGTCCTCCATGTGATTAGAGCTCTCGTGCTACCCCTCTGTCTTCCAAGTGCCAGCAGCAACATTCAAATCTATGATGAATGCAAAAAAAGACATGAATATACACACCTCTCGCATTCCGTTCAATAATATTAGTAAGCCTCTGAACAAGAAAAGCAAGAATTTCAAGACCTGTGAATGGGCTCTTTCTTTTTGGCAGTCATTCCCAGCCAATATGATTTTGCTTGGGGAATGAGAGGAAGATAACATAGAAGAGACAGAAAGGAACAATATTTACAACAGGATGTTACTGTGAGTCTTACCTCCCTACCCCCAACACCTATCTACATCCCAAAATCCACAAATCTCAACTACACAGCAGCTGTGCTGCTTTAGGGGCAGCTGGATGCCTGTTTGTGCCTAGAGCTGAGCAGAAAAGCCAGGTGACACCACAGCCCCGGAAGGGGATGAGGACAGAGGTGTAACACCACAAAGGGTGGTTCAGACCAGGGCACAGAGTTAGGATTACTGATACTACGATAACAATGTGTAACAACCAGTGTGTCACAACAATTACAGTTAATTACACCACTACCACAGGTGCGATATCCTGGCCAATGCTGGCCACACACTGCASAAGGTATCTGCAGTATGTACACAAAATAAGCTCCTGGGCTGTTAAAGAAGTTAAKGCAGGGACACAAATCTCAAATCATTACCTGAGTGAACATTAGGCAGAGATGTTTCCAAGGCACAGGAATTCCATGATTTATGGAAGGAGATYCCTTGAACAAGAGCATTCGCAAACCAGTAACACTGTCTGAAGTAAATCTCAGTGGATGGAATTCTCACTAAAACCATTCCCAATCTATCTCTCACCTCAAATGACAGGGACCTTGAAGCTAAAATTATTCTGTAGCTTCAGGATAATCTTACAAGGATTATCTGTTTTCTTAACATGTATTCTCTCTGTCAGTGTAATCTTCCCATTTTGACCTCTCTGTCACCACTTCACCTTGTACAAAGCTTAAACTAAACAGGAGATATTCAATCCACGTATCATCCCAGATGCCTGGCCACAAGTTGCGCCAAGAGAGGTTTAGATAGTATAGTAACAAAAAAGTATTCACTGATGCAGTTATCAAGCCTTGGAAGGCTGCCCAGGGAATGTCAAATTAGCAACCCTGGAAGTGYTCAAGAGAGTAGTAGACATRGCATKTGGGGACATCGTTTAGGGGTGCACTCAGCAGTACTAGGTTAATRGYTGGACTCGATGATCTTAAAGTCTTCTCCAACCTAAATGATTCCATGCCTGTGAATTAAACACCTTCTCCTTCCCACCCCTCCCTATGTAGACATGGGCACGAAATTCAGATACATGCTACAAACCTGATTCTAAACAAACCAAGAGAATACTAGAAAAACATCCTCTTCCCTTACTATGCGTCCGAGCAATAAGAGCCATTGCCTCCCCTTCGAAACCCAGGTACAGAACAGTTGACGATGCAGACTTCTCGACACACTAAAGGGACAGGTGACTATGTTTATGGAAATCTATGAACAAGGGGGGGGACGTGTCAAATCTTATGCAAGGAAATTACACCAGTACTTAAAGACAACACTACAGAGCTCTCCATTCTGTCCACATCCCATGGATTTGACAACAAAGTGCTGGAGGAGACAGAATGACAAAGCTCCAGTTAGTAGCAGAAACCTGTTCCATATTCCATACAGGGGAAAGCGTCCCAGCCCACGGCCGGAGAAAACGTGAAATTAGATGATCTTTAAGGTCCCCGATTCCGTTAATCAAACAAACAAACAAACAGAAAAATCACCCAACTGCTCTTTGCGAATGCGATCAGGGTACAGCCGCGGAGCGCTGCGCAGCATGTGCGGGAACACGGACTCCAGGGCTAGGACAGGGTGCACGGAGACAAAAAGAGCAGACCTTACCTGACACTTTAAATARCCGCACTTAACTGGAATACTCAAGGCTTGGAACATTTTACCAAAGGGAACCAGTACTGGGTGTTTTTTTTTTAAAAACTGCGAATAGTGCTGTCCTACCTGTGGCTCAAGTGAGGCTAACGACAGCGGAAAATGTCCCCTAATTCCCCACGAAAATTCCCTCCCTCCACACCCGGGTCCCACCTGCTGGGTCAGGTAGCGCGTCAGGTAGGGGCCAACTGGCGGTGGGGCGCTCCGGCGAAAGCGGAGAGGGGAGGGCAGGGCGCTGGCCACGCCGAGGAGCGGCAGCAACAGGAGGAGCCGCAGCATGGCCGCGGCCGGGCAGGAACAGGAGCAGGAACAGGAGCAGCCAGACGAGAAGGAGCCGCAGCACTGATGGCCCCGGCGCTTTATAGGGGCCCGGGGCTGCCCGGCGGGAGCGGCGGCACTCTGGGGGCGGGGCCAGCCCCACACGTGTAGGGGCGGGCCCTGAGCAGCGGCGCCTTGCGATTGGCTGTCGCTCGGAGGTGAGCTCGCGCGCCTCTCCGCGGTTGGCTGCGCTGGCTTCCATAGGTGTTTCGGCCGCGCGGCCTCGCGCGGGGAGGCGGCGATTGGCTGCTCGGGGCACGTGACCCGCCCGTCCCCCCGCTCCGTGCCGTGCCGGGGCGCGGCCGACATTCACATTCTCGCTTTCCGATTGTGCGAGCGGGGCCGCGCTCYCTCCGCTCTGCCTGGCGACTGGCTGAGCGCCGCCCCGTCCCGCCCCCGTGGCGGCCCTCAGCAGCCGCACTTCCGCCCTTCCGCCCCGCCCTCAGGCCAGGCCGCGCCGGGGCAGCAGTGGGGGTCCGCCCGGTCTCCGGCCTAAAGGCACGGAGCGCAGCCCGCGCCCGGGTGAGTCGGACCGGACCGGACCGGCCGCTCGCTGTCGGCCTCGGGGGTGAAAACTGGGGTGTGAGATGTGTTAACGACTCGTGCTGTGCTTTTCCTTACGGAGAGGGCGCAGCAGCGGGATCAGCAGAGGGCTCCAGGCACCGACAGGACCCGCGCTGGCAGCCGGTCTGCTGAAAGGCAGCGAGCGCGGCAGGAGCACCTGTGATTCTATGTGATTCCCCGGCCGGGCGCTCAGGTTTGGGTTGTTTTGTTTATTACGAAAAGTTCAAGTAAAACRTCTGTTCTTGCTGTCATTTTTCTTTCTGCGTCCAGATAGCGAATTCTGTATTCATCCTAAGAGAAATAGAGATATGGGTCTTAAGTCTGTAATCACTTGCCAGAGCCCCTGTGAGTAGTTGCACGCTGTGCCTTATCTCCCGTATTTCAGTTGAGTACTTGCAGTGTTCTGTGTTTTCCGGAGTGTGGGTTTGGGTTTTTTTTTTGTTTTTTTTTTGTTTGTTTTATTTGTATTTCTGTGCTTTTTAATTACTTTCAAAAGTGCAGATAACAAAATCCATGTCAGCTTTGTTTCTATAGTTCTGAGTTGAAAGCAGGCGGGAATGTGAAGCACCTGCTAGTTTCTCTATGCCCACCTTTTTGGGCAATAAAAAAATCAGACTTAACTCTATTACTCTTTTTCTATATATTGTTGTGTCTTGYATTTACTTTTTGCTGTTATCTTGTACAAACAAAATTGTTTCTTTTTGGCAAATGTTGAAAGCATGCACCATTTAATATTCTGAGGAAATGAGTCTCTGTTGATATGTGCATTCTGAAGAGATTTTTTTTTCTCATTTTGGTTGGCCCTCTGTTAAAGCTTTTCCCTTTCCCTTACTCTGTTTTCCAGAGATTGGGAACATTGGGATTTTTTTTTATTAACTCTGAGCTACTTGGGCTGATGAGTTAAATCATGTTTTTCTGGTTCTCAACATTACACATCTTATTTTTACCAAAATGTTGAGCAAGGTGTCCCAAAGGGCAAAACCTGTAAGTTTAACCTTCTGGTGGCAAAATATGAACAAAACATCATTGTTGATCACTGAATGGGGATGTTTTTTAACCTGTAAAAGCCATACTTTAGTCTCCTTTATCTCTTTCGTCTTTTGCCTCTCTCAGAGGGTTTTAGGATAAAGATGTGGAATTTGATTCCTGTTCTGAGTTCATTCTGCAGTTTATAGCAAAGAGAGATTTATATTTAGCCATGGCTGTGATAAAAGGAACTCTTTGATTTGAGGTTTTGAATGGGGCTTCAAGCAACTTGGTCTAGGAGAAGGTGTCCCTGCCCACGGCAGGTGGGCTGGAACTAGAGGATGTTTAAGGTCCTTTCAACCCAGACCGTTTTGAGATTCTATGATTGTTTTCTACGTGTTTCCAGCATCTGCTGAGAAAAAGGTTGACTGTCTAAAATAGGGGAAATTTCCTAAAACTTGATGTTTTGGGCAGTATCAGATGTTTTGGTATCATAAAGGCAAAATAAATCAGCGRGAAAGTAATACTGAATAAAAATAAATTAATTCCTATTTGCTTAATGTTTAGTTCATCATTTGTTTATCAAATCCATACAGCCTCTGTTGAAATCAGTGGTAAACACCTGGAGCTACCCCTTTATCTCAAAGAGCATGATATAAGAGCAGGAATAGTTGCTATTATGAGACTTTTTCAAGATTTTCTGAGTATCCTTTCCAAGCCATTGGTGTTGAGGCCTTTGCAGAATTACAAGTGCAGAATCATTTCCGTTTTTAACCCTATGTTGTGATTTCATTATAAATTAAGGAAAATAATTAGAAAGCAATTTGCTGCACTACTGTGCCCAAGGATAGTTTTAATAAAGGTTCCTAAATGCAAGTGAGAATTTGCATGATCTGTCTGCAATGGTGTGCAAATGCCATGAACAGTTCCTTCTTATTACCTAACTTCATCAGTTTTTTTTTTTCTTTTTAAAGATTTAATTAATATAATTTCTATTTTCAAACAGAGATCATAATTTCCTGAAGACTGCTGTTCAAAATGTTAAAATAACCCAACTGAAATCAGTTAATGTTAACATCTCATAAACTGAGAACTCTTTGAACCATTTTGACTTACTCATTTCAGGTTATGCTGTGGGCACATGAATAGCATGCAGAGCCTCTTGGCTGCCTCTGTGATTTCCATCCAGAATTCCTGCTTCATCTATCCTGCCTGTCAAAACTGCTTTTCTCGTCTGATACTGGACTCCAGGAGGTATGTCCTGTTTTGGGGATWATTTTCTAATTTCCATAAACTCGGGAATCTCTGTTAGCTGAACACCAAACAAAGTGGTGAAAATCCAGCCRTTGTAGAAATAAGTGCTAATTTCAGATCTTATTGTTACTTATCATTGTTTGGATCTCTGTATTCTAGCAGCAGCTTGGAGGTCATTATGGCTCAAGAGTTCTCTTATGTTCGGTACTATGTGGTATCAATGAATGGTTTAGCAGAATAAATAATGTGTGATAAAGCTTCCAAGTGCATCCCCTGCAGTCCACTCAGTCCCTCAGTGCTGTTCCTAAGTTGGAGGACATTAAAAACCCCTCCAAATAAAATCCTGATTTTTTTTTCATCTCATTCTATTATGTGCATTGCACCTGGTAGTCCTAGATGACTCTTTACTGAGTGCATGTCTAGAAATGTATGAGCTTTCCTTTTAAATTGCAGTGTTGGGTAAAATCTCTGACACAGAARAACAGTAAATCAATGAATGTCAGCACTAAATGGAAGGAGCTGACTTTGTAAAGCWAGGATATCTGTTGGTTCAAATGCTGAAGTACAAGATAACAGTGCTGTTTCCTGATTTGTTTTTTTAAACCTAGGTATCTATACTCAAGCTGCAGGAAGCAAAATCCCAAAACYGAATGAAATGTGAAAAAAATTAGTGCAGGGAATTCAAAATTACCATCTAACGGTCTCTCAAAGCCCAGTGTCCTTTCTAGTTTCACAACAGACTAGCATTTAATAAATCAGTAAAAGAAGCCAGAGGCATTCTGTCATAAAACAGACAGGCTCTGAGCCTTTGGTAAGATTAATGCTCAAGGTGTGAAGAATAAGAAAAAAGCTCTTAATAGCTTTTTATGGAATATTTGATACATTATAGTAGTAATACATATGGTTGCAGATAAGTTCTTACCTCAGCACTGATTAACAGAAGTCCGTGCATTCAATYTTTTTTATCTTTTTACTGTCTTTTGTCAGGTTCAACTGTCTGAAATGTGGCTGCACAGGTGAAGCTAAAGATGCAAGCTACAGATATAGATTGTCCCTAAAGATTGCTGACACTAATGATTTGTTTGACATCACTGTTTTTGGAAGTTGCTTAGATCCATTCTTTGGGGTCACTGCAGAAAATCTGCAGAGGTAAGGAATAGATTGTCTGACCATATAGCTGCTGCTATTTATTCAGCCTAAAAAAATTGAAATGTGGGAAGTAACTGTTAAAGTGCTCCCTTCCARCATTTCCTTGGYACCCATCACCTTGAGAAAATRCTGAAGTTTGTTTCTTCCTGAAATYTTGATGTTTTGAGATGGSTTACTTCTAGGTAGTAGAAGAAATCCTCCACTTGTCTATTGAAGGCAGCTACTACCAGTTAGGTGARCTTCACTGTTTGGTTGGTTTGGCTTCTTGCTCATGTCCTTTTTCCTTTCTTTGAGATGATTGAATTTCCTTTGTTTACATAAGCTGGCTTTTCCAGATAGAGCCCCTAAGTTTTCTGTTTTAACAGTTTGAATGYACCTTGTGATTTATCAATATGAACAAATTTTTTGAAGAAAGAAGGGATTTTTAAGAAAGTCCATTAGTCCTCAGAACTTGACCACCCACATTATAGGCTTCAGATTTTCTGAAATGTGAAACTGCCAGGRTGGGATATTCAGATAAATTCTCTGCTTCTTTCTCTAGTCTGTTGTTTTCCAATGCCTTGTGTTATCACTGGCTCAAAGATGAACACTTTTTTAATGCCATAATAACAACACTAATAACGTGCTCATGACAGGCATTCTGCCCTACACTGCTGTACTGCTGTCAGCTGTGAAGAGCAGTTATGTCCATGTCTTTTATGGATACTGCTGTGCTGTAAAGGCCTGGGCAGGAAGGATGTGCAAGGAATAGCATATTGATAGCACTATTCACTCACTGTGTTGGCCGAAAAATCACAACATGGGGAACACCTGTAAGTCATGTATGTATTAAATCTGTTCAGAGTGGTTGTTTTGTTTATCTCACTAACAGATTAGGTGAACTAAAGAATTGAACTTACAGGTTCATGATTTCCTGTTTTCATTCTATGTTTAGTTGAAGCTACCACAAAATCTCCTCCTTAGCATGTGTCCTCACTAGTACTGTACTAGGGATGAAATGCTGTGCATGATTTCCTGTGTTGGTCCAATAYTTCTGTATGTTTTTATTCAAGGTATATTCAAGACTTCAATCAGCTGTCAGGAGAAAGAAACACAGAGTCATCTACAAGAGCGTTAGTTCAAGCAGTGGAAACATGTTTCATTGGAAAAAGGTTTATATTTGGAGTGAAGGTAACTTTTAATCCACATTACTGTCTTTTAATGAGTTTTTGTAGCCAGTTAGAGGGTGTAGACTGAGTTACCAAAGCTTCACGTACAACATCTTTTAGGAATTTGAGAAAATTTAAGTCTAGGACATGAGAAGGATTCCGCTTCTTTTCCCCAAGACTCCTGTGGGGTTTTTTTAATGGGTCACATCCAAAAATCATCTTGAATGGCAGTAGTCAGCTTCACAGCTTGTCAGGRTGCTTTTCAGAGATCCTGAGCAGTGCCAGCTCCTGTGCATATCAGTAACAGCTTSGAGTCTGTAAAAAAGCTATGTACGGTTGGAGCAAGAAACACTGTCTTTGCAAGCACTGCCCTACCTTTCCCCTGCTGTGTAGTCTCCTAGTGTCTGAAATGTAAGGAGAAGCACATCTCCTTGTGACATTTTAATATTTCTGGATTTAAGAGCATTTTTTTCATGTTGTTAAAAGTACAGCTGTTCAACATCTGTATCAGTGGATTTTTTATGTATTTAACACATAACATAACATTTGAAATGCTAGTTCTTAGCAATATTTCTATAGAAACAGTCTTCTAGGTTCTCTCCAAGTAGTGCTTATGTGAGTCATTCATATTATAAAATCTGTGAACTAAAYCCTACCTGTCAGGTGTTTTGCCTCTCCCATAGATACAGTGAARTTTGTATCTGAACTGAGATTTTTCCTGATGTACAGTATCTAAGTAATGGAAGCTGGAGGACTTAATGGATTAACTCCACTTACCTACAACCCTTGATCAGGTCTGTGGGCCTGATGCCTTGACAAATATAACTAATCCTAGATATCACCAGCCTTGTGGCTGCTCCTGCACGCACAAGGGCTGAACACACATTTGAAGACTGTTCAGCCCTTGGCTGTATTTCTGTATAGTTGTGTTAAGCTGTGTATACGGTTGTACCCTCCCAGATAATACTCAGAATCAGCATAACACACATTTTTAAGACTTACCTAGAAGGGTGTTGTCCTTGGCTGACAGCCTTCAGCCTCAATCCTTGCACAGACTCAGGAGGAGGAGGGTTGTTGGACATAACTATATCKGCTTTTTGGCCTCTCTGGTTTTCCCAGACTTTGAGGGGGCAGATAGGAAAGGGTATATCCACTTCTTAAAATATTAGCTAATTCCTCCTCCRCTTAATGTCATTTTTCACCTGTAATTTCTGTGTAGAGAGCAGCACATATTATAAAGAATTGCAGCTGAAGCTCCTTTGAAGCACTGCTTTCTAAAAAAATTTTAGCAGATAAAGGTTGTCACTTATTTCCCTTTCACAGATGTAGTGCACAGAAAGTTCCATGCTGGCTTTGGTAGCTGAGCTGCCAAGTCAAGTGTCTGGTACCAGTTATTTGCTTCAAGTGCTGCCCAGTGCCTCCTGGATAAAAGAAAAGCACTGGCCTTAGGCAGCCAGCCATTCATACTGAACTGTATTGGAGGAAGCCCGGAAACATCTAGCGCCCTAAAGGGAGGAAGAAATTTTCTGTGCAGTCCTTTCTCAGAGTTCTTGGTTGTTTTTCCAGCTCCAAAACTCTGTAATTGCAACAAGCAAAGAACCTCTCACTGTGATGCCCTTTATAGCCCTTGCCAGGGCTTATTTCCCAGGGACTGCCTTGTGTGACAGACTGTTTTGTATTCTCTTCCCTGCAGATCCTGACAAAAATGAGACCCAAATTTCGCCTGACTAAAAGACATGTGTTAATTTTTTTTTCTCTAAGTTGGTTGGTTTTTTGTTTTCTTTCCCAACCCAGGGTTATGCAAAGGAAGATGGAAGGCATTCTGCTGCCAGCAGCATCTTGCAGAAGTGTTCCAGAATTAACACAAGTACGAAAAGCCTTGTAGCATGCCAGATCTTCCTGCCAAATGCTGCTGTTACTGGCTTTACTGTTATCAGTTACTTAGATCGTCTCCTGCAGTCGGCAAAATTCAGGAGCTGTAATAACAGCTCATATTTACCTGATGTGTCATCAACTCCCATAGATGAGCCTCTCAGTGAGCTCAGCAGCTTGTCTAGCCTGAGCAGGARCTCCTGTTTTGTTCAGTCTAGTGGCAAGGAAAGTTTTTTAGGGGGCTGGCAGCAATCCTTCAGTCTGACTTCATCTGTTGCTTGGGTAACAGCGGAAGACTTTCCCACTCTGGAAGTGAGAAAGCTGRTGAGTGAACAGCATGAACAAGAGGAGAGGCCTGTCTCTGCAGAACTGAGCAGTGTAAGCCTCAACAATCAAACTCTTGAGGACTCACAGTTTCTCATCTCTTCTGTGAAGGAAGGGGATAAAGAGAAGGATAATGAATCAAGTTCACAGCTCAGTTGGACTAACGGTGTCTCTGCAACTGATAAATTGGAGAGACAATCCTCTTCAAACACCGAATGTTCACATCAAAACAGTTCCAAGTTGTTACAACATCCCTTGGAATCTGAGGTAAAAAACATTTACCCAAAAACTAATAGTAGAAATTATTGTTACCCAGAAAAATCCCACCACTCCCTTGTTTGTACAAGAGATGCCTCAGCTCCTAATCACGTAAAAGTAGCTGAAGTGTCTCAGATGGACTCTATGTTTTGGGAAGAGCTCCCATTCTCAGAAAGCCTAAATCAATTGTTAGCCAGGATAGAGGATGGCAGGAGTGTTGTAACATCACCCAGCCTTGATGCAGGCAAACATGTCCTTCAAAGTAGCAAGTTGGGTGTAAATCTTAACAAATTGTATCCCAGGCAAGCGCCAGATGTATTGTCTGCAGCGAGCATCTCAGGGAGGCTGTTGCTATCAGCAGAGAATGATAGCTGGGAGAACATAGTGTGTGCTCATCTTCAGTCAAATCCGAACCCTCTGAGTGAGATACCACAATGTGAGTCTTCCCCTGATGATTTATCTTCAACCCTCAAGGAATGTGAAGTATCCTCACTAGTTACACCAGARACTTCTGTTTCTCAGAGCAGATGTGTGCAGTCCAAAGCAGCAAATAGTGACATTGCAAATTCATCTTGGTCTGTGGTTAGGCTTCATGGAGAAACCTCCTGTTTAAAAAGGAGCAAGACAGCCGTGTGTGTGCATTCTGCATGTGAAAATGGTTTAACTGGTTGTGRAAATAAAGAAAATTATTCTTCTACACCAAGCCACAGAAAAGATCTTACACTCACAGGGGCCCAGGTCTCTGATCCACCAACTCCCAGCAATGCAAGAAGGATATATAAAAGAGAATTAAAGCCATTGACAGAGCTGTCAGATAATACCTTCAGAACTGTTACTAGGAAAGAGCTGCAGTGGAATAACATCATCTCTGAAGGCAGCTACAATGCTTCTGCTGATCTCTTTGATGCAAGTGTAAGAGCGGTAGCAAAACCTGTGGAATTCTTAAATAAATCATGTGATTCTTTAATACAGGTGGATAGTTTGACAGAGAAGATCACAGCTGAATCAGTGCTCTCTCCTGGAGGTGTTCCTTGTAACAGCTCAAAACTGATCTCATCCCTACACAGGTCTCATGCTTTTAGCAAGCACAGTACACCTGTAACTTACTCCTTTTGCGATTCAGAATGCAGTTCAGTTTGCGCTCAGGACTTTGTTCCTTATTCACAGTCAACTCCTATGGCTAAACCTCTGCAGAAACTGTGGCCTGTTGGGGAAAGAAGCTCTTTTGTTGCCATCTTCACTCCTAAAAATCCCACTAAAATCCATCCCAAACGCAAGCGATCTAGGTCTTCCTTTCAGAACACACTGCTGCAGCAGCTTACTGGCAAGTTAGCGAAACGTGGGAGGCCAAGGAACAAGGAAGATAAAGAATGTGGTAGCTTTACTTCTCAGCAATTCCTTAATAGCCAACTGCCTGCCAGCTTGGAGGAGTGGATCCCTCCATCKTCAAACAAAAAGCTGAAACCAACGGTGTCTTTAAATTTAAAAACAACTAGCTGGGCTGCTGACTTGCAATCCACCTGTRGGCACTCAGGCAGGAACCCTATTTCTGAAAGCAGAAAGAACAGTGAAAATGATGACAATCTCATCCAAAATGAGATTTTAAGCCCTGGGGATAGAGCCAGGATTCTAACAACTCCTGTATTTGCAGGTGTCACCAAAACCYCACCTTTAAATAATACAGTCCTGAAAACGTATTCCCCTTCAGAAGCCAAGAATTGCCTCTCACATGGAAACTATTCAGGAGTTGTTGGACAGTTGGAAGGGCCAACTGCCTGGTCTCCTGTGCTATTCTTCTAAGCACAGATGCCTTTTTCCAATAAGCCAAAATACTAAAAAAACTACATTTCTATGCTGTGTTCTTTTTTATTTTTTTTTTTTTAATTTTGGGAAGGAGCCAGTTGAAGAAAAGAGCTATTTAACAGTTAAATTGTTTATACACCTATTGCTAAAAGGAATTATGTTTATATTTTGAGACCTGTGTACTATAGAGATGAAGGAAATCAGAATCTGCAGTTACTATATTTTATTGGAAATTGATTAGGAGGAGCAATAAACACTTTTATAAATGTGTGAGTATTGAATAGAACTCACTTGATAAATACAAGTCGTTTAAGTGTTTTAATGTTCACTATTGTCTTTTCATCACAAGAGCAGCAATGGAGTTCATGTCCACTCCAGATTCTTGCTTGATGACTCTCTGGGGAAAAGGCCCAAGTTTTCATCGAAGATTTGATGGTGCCTTGTATTGGAGCCTATTTGGGATCCTGTGACAGCCTTGAGCTGGGTGAAGGGGGCCATCCTGAGAGCTTGGTAGCAGCTCCCAGTTTTCCTGTAGGCTTTTTCAAGTTAAGGACTGCTAGTGGTAGATTCCTGGCACTGGCTTTCCTCATTGCTTTAAGGTCTTCCATGTCCCCCAACCCAAATTAGGATCATTGAACAGAGAAATCTTGTATCTGCTGCTGTAAGCTTGTCAGATCCTACAGAAGGATTTGGGAATCTGGTGGCACAGGATCTGAGCAGCCTGAAAATGATGACATTCTGTTGCAAATGAGTGTTTTTAAGGCCATAGTGTGGCCCAAGGGGGTAGAGGGGATGTGCCACTATGCTTAGAGTACCAGAAACAGACCTAAAAGTACCTGCTGTGATTTTTTTTTTCTTTTGAGTTATAAAATGAATATGCCTCATTTATATTGTGACTCGTGACAGGGAGGGGTTACTTGGTTCCTTCTCAGCTACAAGGTGAATGTTTTTACCTTCCTGTGTTTGAGACCTCATATAATTTCTACAGCACCTACTTAAGCCTCACTGTTCAGAAGAGTTTTGTGTCTCATCATGCAAGGAAAAAAATTGTATCAATTCTGATGTCYAAAGGGCTTTCAGGTTGTAAAGACATCACTTCTGCCTTAGGAAACCTGAGAGRCAGAAGTTGCTGGACGTTAGGGGAGTATCAGACAAGTGAAAAGGTATCATTTGGTACTGATCTCGTTCTTGTGCATTTTGCTTACTCATTGATTGTTGGAGTCAGGGATAGAAGGGCTTCTTGTGCCTTGAAAGCCTGAAAYACTTGTTTACCTCACAGTCCCTTGGTCCCACAGGGGTGCCTCAGTGGGGCATCCACACAGACCAGTAGGCAGGACCTTCCTAAGGCAGCCAACAGAAACCATGTTTGGGGTGGATGGAAAAAACACACCTTTGGAATTTGAGGTGTAATCTTTGCGTGGCTTCATATGTCTTCTACAAAATAATTATATACCTGCTCATTAATTTCAGGAAACAGGAATGAGGGCATTTACTTTCACCACCTTGTTCCTTATTCATGATTTTTAACATGGATCACCATCACAGAACATACAGGTAAACTTTTTTAGTTTCTCAGTCTGTAAGTTCTGCACCTTCTAATCAAATGCATTTCCCTTCGAGGGATTGGAGAGAGAAGAGATGTGGAATCAAACAAGCTTCTCCTGTGGCTGARCAGGGTATAAATGAGGTGCAGCCTCTCCTGCCGAAGGTGCAGATGTGCTGAGACTGCAGGCATTCCTGCAGGCCAACCCAAAAAGTTCCACATGGCTATGCAGCAGGTCTGCACAGGTAAATTCCCTGTACAAAGAAGCTTTTCCAAGTCAGCATTGGTTGGCTTGGCTATTTTTCTCACTCCTTATTTATAGTTGAGTGAGGCACAGGCTCACAGACTTGCCTGACATTGAGAGGACATGCAGCACAGCTCTGAAAGAGCTTAACCAGCAAACCATCTCTTGCTGTCCCCAACAAGATACTCAAGCACACCACAAAAGTTCTTCCTGGTGTTTAAGGATCCTGCAACAGCAGGTGGCAGTGGAAAGAGGTGCAAGATTTCTTCTGACAGGTCCAAGCCTAGATTCCTGCAGTCCCTGAGCCCTAGACATAAACAGCAGAAAAAGGATCATCTTCTTATGGCAAAGGAGGTCAGGAAAAGAGCAGAATAAACATCACCATTTTAAACAATGTTTAATTCATAAGCTGATGATGTTTTAAAACAGAGGGGAAATTTAGGTTAGATATGCCGAAAAAATTCTTCACTGTGAGAGTGGTGAGGCMCTGGCACRGTTGCCCAGAGAAGGTGTAGATGCCCCATCCCTGGCAGTGTTCAAGGCCAGGTTGGATGGGGCTCTGAGCAACCTGGGATACTGGAAAGTGTCCCTGCCCATGGCAGGAGGACTGGAAGAAGATCTTTAAGGTCCCTTGCAACACAAACCATCCTGTGGCTCTGTGACCAAGGGAACCACAGGCACCTGCCTGCGAATGGAGCCACTTGCTAAGTGCAGTGCCAGTGACAGCGCTGTTGCAGAATGTGGCAGGGCTCTGCTGTAAGGGACACAGTTCCTGTAAAAGGCTTCCTGGCACAGCCAAAGGGACATGAGAGTAATAGCAGAAACCATATGGGCTTTGCAAGCTGCTGCTGAGTTGCCCAGCTGAGCTTTAGCCCTGCAAATCAGCGCACCAAAACTGCACCAGGGCTGCTTAGTCAGGGTAGCACAGGGCCAGGATGAGACCMAGTGAAAAGGCCTGGGCTTGTGCCTGCATTTACCAGTGCTGTGTCTGTTGAAAAGATTCATTTATTGTAAATAAAATCCTACTTGAGAAACCCTTGGGGCAAGTGGAAAAGGAGTAAGAAGTATTGCCTGCCTAGAAATAAGATCRTGTGTAGCTTATGTAGAAGAAATGAAGGGAAAAACAGCATTACTCATGCCCAAATTAGTGAGCATAGGGAAGGCAAGACAGAAAAGGTTTTAACGCATCATAACGCTTGAAACTAGTTTTTTGTACTTCAGCACATTATAGGATACTGAAGTTATCACTGGCTTTTTAAGTGATGAACAGGACAGACATCCACTCTGTCACCAGGAGTTAGACCTGATCCAAGTGAGATGCCAGAGACTTGATGCAGCTAGCTCTGAAACACTGCCAGAGCTTCTACAGCATATACCTGACAGCATCTTGACATGAAATGTTTGGTCCAGCATGAGTGATTTTATTCAGCAGACAATTCACTCACATACTATAGTAAGTGATAGCTTGGYGCAGGCTGATGTGATTATAATTATAAGCTTGTACAAAAAGACTAGAGCTCAGRATGTTTAATTCTGAAGGTAATAAAACTCCTGAAAATGCACACTGGGTTTGTGATTGATTCCCTATGCATATAAATCCATAAATCAAGACTAGATTTTAAATTAGGCAGGACTGTCTGTGCCATACCATTGAAATTAAAGCAGGACACAGATCTGTGCTTTGTGCATGAGGACTGTACACAAGGGGAGAGCAGAGAGTATTGTTGTGTGACAGGCCCCTGTCAGCAAGATGACATCTTCCGGGCAGAGCTCCCCACATGCTSGGTGTGGAAACTTTGACCATGAGAGGATGGAAGGGAGGCAGCAAGGCAATAAAAGCTCTCTTGCTCTTGTCCTGCAGTCAGTCAGTCTTCTGTTTCTTCCCTTTAGCAGCTTGTTCCCTCTTTGCAGGGAGGGTTTGTGTGCTCACATTCCTTTCCCCCTCGGCAAAGCCTGGCACAGGCTCTGCCCTTGCTGCTACACCTGCTGAACAAGAAGGTTGCACACCCCACTGGTTCCATGCTCCTTGCAGGAAAAGCTGCTGTTCTTCATCTGCCCCTYGCTTGGTCTCTTTTCTCCAGACTTCGTCCCCAAAAGCAACACACTCCAGCCCTCCTCTCTTTCAGTAAATACTCACTTCCTAAATGCTCTGAGCATCTGAAGGATGTTTCCTTCCTCTCCTTTTGCCTCCTTCCTACCTAGAAGCACACAGGGACTTTTCCCTATCCAAATTCCTCTCTGTTCTCTCACTGACTCAAATTGCCAGCTTCCTGGGGAAGGAAGAGCAGATGGTCCAGCCCTCATGTCAGACATTTACCAAGGAAGGAACTTCAAGGTCAGTGGAAAAGGCAATAAAAAGACACATGGTGTCTTCAAGCTTCACAGCTCGTTTCTCAGTGCAAGTGCTAGCAGGAGTCATCTTTGATGTGGAGCAGAGCACAGAGGAGGAAGCCTGGTCCCCAGAATGAGTCAGAGCASAAACCTGATATATTTACCAAAAGACAAAACGCTTAAAATGGGAGATCTTGTCTAAAAGGATTCTAGGCCTTGAGGAAGGCAGGTCATTGGAGAACTCCAATGGAGTTCAATGAGARGGAAAACAGCAAGTTGAAGGCTGAACAGAAGGAATAGCATAAAAAAAAAGTGACTGGGTTAAAGAATGAAAGACGACTGAAGCATCCAACCATCATCGAACATTTATCCTACACCAATCCAGCATCTTACTAGGACAAGAGTTTAACCTGCCACAGGTTTGCAAGAGCARTGAGTGGATGGTGCCTCTGTCAAAGGCCCCCCTCTAGTGCCTGATGCTGGCATTTCTTTGACATTYCAAAGTAATTTCTCCTGCTTTGAATTTTTTTTTTCTCTTCTAGTGCAAATGGACATCGCCCCCATTGGCAGCAGTTCTAAATCTTGCTCACCCCAGGCAGAAAATCTTTMGCAGACATTTGTTTGCTGGTCCAATGTCAAACCATGTCAACTGAATGCCTTGAAGTTAAGGCAACTTTGCTTTGTAGTCCAAATCAAAAAACAAACAAATCCAACACTTTAAACACCAAGTGGAAAGGATTAAACATTTATTTACATACAGATACACATGTAAGCAATTTCTAAGTATAAAAAGGACATGACAAATAAACGTGAAGCATCATACATTCATCATCCTGGTCATCCAAAACACATTCCTTTCTCAAGCCCACTGTACCACACTTGAYCACGAGAACTTAAAGAGACAAGCCAAACGTTTCTGACAGTGAATGATTTACAGTTTGGCAATTTGCTAACACCTATACCCTCCCCAAAGACAGCACTACCCCAGCAACGAGATCAATGGTCTGACCAGCTATAGTGCATTTTTTCCATTGAAATTGTTGTGCTCCATCAACAAATAGCACATCCTCTACTCATCCTTTTGGCCACATGTTTAGGAATCAGGGTTCTTGCTAAAATTCTGTACATTGTGCTAAATTTACAATTGTTGGGGAAAAGACAGTAGACCTTTGTGGGACAAACTCCAACACAGGAAATTCCTTTAACGCTGTGACTTCCCTGGCATGGAAATCACAAACAAAATGCTGCTGTTCCTGCTTAAGCAGATTTTTAAACTACAATTTAAACTACAGTTGATGGTATAAAACATACTTTGTTCATGCTGTAAAAGAAATTATGTGCTTCAATGTTGATTTGATAGTAATCAAAGCTGAGGGTAATTCAGGTTTTCTCCTGAGGAAATGAAGATGCCTTTGTAGCATCTCTAAAAATTATCATAGCTTTCAAGAAAGAGGAAATGTTTTAGATTCAGAAGTCTAAAGGTAATGCAGAGCACGACAAACTTGTCAGTTAGATAACATTACAAAGGGAAACAAGCCAGTAAACATAAAATTAAAATGCCTACTCAAAGTATTAATGAATTCAAATGAGAACAGGGTGAGTCTTTCTGTATAGATCAAAGGCAGTTTGAAAAAAAATCTCATGATCTGCAAATTCACAGAACAGCCAAATATGTGCAGCAGAACAGAGTGAAGTGGAAATAAAAGAGCAGAAAGAGCCTTGTCCCATATCGACAGCTGAGTGACTGCAGCTGCTCCAATCTCAGGGTTTTGGGTCTTTTTTTCCATTTGTAAACAGCTGTGGAGAATAAAATGGATGTGACATATCTGCAGTGCATCTTATTATGCTAAAACCATGGCATATTTTAAACCACTTCCCTAATATCCAGAGATATACTTGTCACTCCAAATCAGCATAGTAACAAGCACTGGGCTTGCTCCACACTCTCATTAGAGGGCCTTTTCTCTACTAAAACRTTGGCTTCAGAAGTTAGTTTTCCCCCTTCAGTGCAGGCTGTGTGTGGGGGTGTGTGGTAACCCTTACTTCCCAACAGTCTGCAAGAGCTGAGGCAATGGCAATGCCTGAAATCATGGCAGYTCTCCCCACCACAGACCAAGTATTTTATTCCCCATCTATTAAAATGTAAAAATGGCATTCCCTCACCTCTGCTGCCCATCTGTAAGGACTCAGCTGCTGGGACACTGCTGGACACTACATTCACTAAAGCTCTGTGCCAGTGATGTAACCTTGGCCCTTGGAGACATTCATAACACCTCCCCAGTGACTGTTCCTCCTCYACACCACCCTAAATCTCACTGGATGGAGAACAACTCATTTGCACCAAACTCCCATCAATTCTTAATGTCTGAATCACTTGTATTGGCTCCCTAAGAAGAGAAACATTCCTTACRGGGTGCCCTGGCTGGAACAAGCTTATTGAATTATTAACTTAACATCCATAGTAAGAAGCTCGAGGTGGCATAGAAGATGAGCTTCTGATGCTCTTTCTCCCTAAAGCAGGAGTCAGATCCAGTGGTTCATGCAATCAGATCATCCCTTCACAGTGCTTGAGGCATGAGCAGTAATTAGAGAAGAGTGGATTCATCGATGAGAGGTACTAAAGGAATCAGGCTTTGAAAAGTACTGAGATTTGCATTCATGTGACACCAGACACTCCAGAGCCCTTGATTGATGCCCATGAAAGTATTAGAATACTTTTTATATCCTCTCTGCCCCAGAGAATCATGCACAGCTAAAACTATGACTGACACAWGTTTTGGCCATGTCATTTTGTGCCTGAGAACCAGGGAACTGGCTTTCRGAAGATGCTCACCAGGGACACCACCACAATGCACTCACGAGTGTGTGTGTATGTCCTTCAGAATGTTATCCCAAAATAAGCAGAAGTGGAAAAAGCAAAGGTGCAAATGTAAAGCTGGCATCTGCTTTTTGAGTTTAATTGTAGGACTAAGCAGAGCTAAAATTATCCTCTGAGCTTATTGGAATAGAGTTCAAAACATGTGGTCACATTCACCAAGTCCTAATTGCAAGCTACTATTGTGAAAACAATCTCTGAATATTGTTAACCAGCTYCTGTTCATCCAGACAGATGAGGTGAGCTGTTAACCCTGGCTGTGCTCTTAAAACCAGTCTAAATTTTCACTGACATTTAAAGCTTAAATTACACCCATTGCCTTCTCATTTTCTGCTCTGTCTGGRTTATCTTCCCCCAGTTATCCCACTGACTGTACTTGGAGGAGCAAGCTTTAGAGATGAGGCTTTTTTTTCTGGAGATGTGGCTCCCACTCAGGAAGAAACAAACACCTGTGACTGACATGGCATAGTTTTTACTTCTGGTTTAAGTTACAGCTCATTCAGATGAGGAGAAAGGTTGTGATGGCATCTGTGAGTGATGAGAGCCAGTGATCTATCCCCGCCTGATTTAGTTCARTACAGCAAAGGCGGCTTTGGGTCAGGTGAGTGAGGTGGTGATTAGAGGAGTAAGTCCAAGCAAGGCAGAGTGCTACTTTGGGAGCCCTGCATCATGGGCAGCATCATCACCCTGCTGTCCACTTTCCTATCCAAGATAAATCCTCAACTGAGGCAGATGTGCCATCAGGAACATTTGTGGTACGTTTGACTACATCTCAAGTGCATGATTGCATTTCAAAGACATCACCACTTTCAGTTGAGGCTGTTCTGCTTAGAATGCACGACTTGCTCCTAAGAAATCAAACTATTGTTTCCTCACACTCGTCATCATAAGGCAACACTGTTCTTCAAAATGGTGATCRCTTGCTGCTTGTGAACAGCAGCTACAACAATTGCCCACAGATGATAGAGCTGATGCCAGGAAAAARGGTGATGTCAAACCCCAAATTTGTTGAGATAACAAAGTTTATGAAAAAAGGAAGGAAATATTTGGATATAACAGAGTTTTCACTATTAGAATTGATTAGAGTATTTTCTTTGGCTCCAGAGTATTTTCTGGTGAGCCCTTATGTACAGAGACATTTAAAACAGGACAGAGAGTTTCTGTACTTGCTCACTGGGAATTCACAAAGTATCCTCTAGAAACATGTTTTTCAAACTGAATTAATTCAAAAAAGTCTTTGTTGGTAGGAGCCAATCACATACAGATATTGGGTGCTTTGATACTAAAAGATTGCAGAATTTCAGACTAAATTTCTCAGCAAACCCTTCTAAAAGCCCAGAGCAATCAACATGCAATCCATAGATGGAATTTTAAAAAAAGATCTGATAGAGAAAATCCTGAGCACGTGGAACCATCTCTTTACTTGCATTTTCTGCTCCAGAGAGTCATCTTTCCCTTTCACAAAGGGTTGTGGCACTCACTCTGTCCCACAGCCAGGAGAGGGTTTCTGTGACAGTGTCTCCAGCCATATCTGACCCCGAGGGCATCACAGACTTCCAAAGGGCAGAATATCCTGCATGTTTGCTCAGCCTCTTTCAATAGCTGGAGAATTTCACCTATTTTCCAATTGAATTCAGTCTCTGACTGCAGGAATCATGCCAGCTCAATGTTTCAGCCTGATTTACAGACAGTCCTTCATATTGAAAAGAGAAGACAAGTGGAAAAGCAGCTGAACAAACAGCAATCCTTAGGGATAACGAACAAGGCAAAGCCCAGTGGGTTTGACTCTAACTAATTGCATCCCTTGTCAGCAAAAGCTCTGGAAAGCCTGTTGTCCCATGTGTGTGCACCCACCGTGCTTCTGCATCACTAACTTCGACTTTCCCTCTTTTCAAATCACTGTCTCCTGTGTCAGTCTCAGTCTGCTGCTATTATTACTGATGCTGGAGGAATTCGATAGCCATTAGCYGCTAAACCTAGACTGGTGGGAGCCAACTGTTACCAATACAGCCATTTCCAAAAAAAACACAAACAGCACCAGCAAGCTGACAGATTTTAAGGGCTGTTTCATGTGTTCTACAGCAAACAACAAAGTATCTTGCCTGACAATTTGTCATGTGTGGTTTTCATTAAATAATGATCACAGAGCCATTTAGCATTCAGCACAAACACGTATATGACTGCATGCTCAAACAGCTTACCTGGAGGTCAAATCAAGACTTCAGGGTTCGAGGTAGGAAGAGGCACCCAGCATTCCCTTCTTTACAGAGTTCATAATTTCACTTTTTCCACATTATTTCTTTGACAYGAAGGGGTTTTRTTGGTTTGTTGTTTTAYTTTTTSCCCCTAGCACTTTCATGGGGGAACACAAATACTGACAGGAGAGTCATGGCTTGTCTCAGCAAACCTTCAGTGTCAACACCAAATGCAAAACATCAGTGAGTACTTCACACACACTTCAGTGACCTGAAGCACTGACTGCCTGSTGGTTTACTTGAGATCAGGCTGACTGAATCAGTGGCTCCCACTGGAAATCAGAGTTTAGAGCAGCCAGTTTTCAGAGATGCTTTTACTGATCTCTGCAAACAGGCTTGCTAGATTAAGCAAACATCTATTGATCATCCAGTATTGGTTTCTGCTTGAACATAATCATTGCATTAAAAATGTGAAGAAAGGGTCTCATTACAAGACTACCACAAAAATTAACATTCACCAGAAATAAGATTACTCCATGGCTGTGACTATACCACCCTCAAAACACATTCAAACCCAGCAACCACACTAAAAGCTTAGCTCTCTTCATAGCAGAGAACATTCCCAGTCAAATCTGGCCCCATTRTATCAATTCTGCATGGCTTCTGGACACTCCAGCCAGCAGGCATCACAAGGCTTTTACAGACAGTTCTCTCAAAAATCTAGTAAAGTGTTTAGCTGGAGAGCTGATTATCACATAATTGGGATTTTTTTAGTTTTCAAGACTTTGCAGTTGATAAAGTTCTTCCTTCCAGCGGGGAAGCCTTCAGCAGCGGATCAGACTGTAGAAGAGAAGATAAACTCTCAGTGCTACGAGGAAAGTTCAGCTCTATGCACAACAGAGATATTCAAAGGTGTACAAAAGTAACACCAGCAAAGGAGTTACTACATTAAAACACCGCTTCTTCAACAAGAGGCGTGTTTGCAAACAGCAGAAAGAGAGGCAAGTCTCAAACTGCAGCTTTGGTTTATGACCTCGTAAAAAGTGTTGCACATACCACCATTGTTTCCTTTCAACTTTTTAAGCCTTTAACTCTTTCTCAATGTTTAGGGCTAAACATTGAAAGGAACCAGTTCAAATTTGACTGGAGAAGTCAGGTAATTCACATGAACATCMGCCCAACTGCAGCACTCCACCCTGCCACAAAAAGCACATCACTGTCTGGAGATGGAGTCCTTACACAAAAATTTGCTAGCCATAAAAGGAAGCAGTGTTTTGAGGTTGGTAGTAGGCAGCTAGTCTCCAAAATAGTCACTTACACATTAGGAAAGCACTGGGAAAAGATTTAGCCTTCTAGAAATCTCAATGTAAATATCCAAGAAAATAAAGTTAGCAGTTTCTGCTATTTGACGAGCTCAACTTGTTCAGTCATGTTAATGCGTTAGAGCTCCAGCTCCAGAAGTGATGCGAGGAGCACTTAAAAATGCATTTATAGTGGTACTCAGAAGGGATGAAGAGTRCCTGCCTAGCTTTGATCTCTTTGGAAACCAGGCTGAGGAACCATGGGTGTTTTATTGGGCAGTCTCCTTCCTCCTTGATTAAGCTGATCAAAGAGCCCTGCCCTATTTGTTATCAATTATATGCTGACAGGTCCAGCATGGGGGAGAACAGCTACTACAAATTAAATACATATGGTATTGATTTTAGACTTGAGTGTTACCTGCCATGGAACAGCCTCAGCCCCACTCTAATGAACTAGCTAAGAGCTGTGCAGAATCAGCTGTCTTGGAGTTGGCTGCTCTTCACAAGTTCAAATGAAGCTGCATTGGGCAATTTGGGGATTACTCAGGAAGAAAGATACTGCTCTTCAGCMCAGGCTGTATCACATGGTCCAGCACAGCAGGTTCCACACATTTCCAAATCCTCCAGATTACAACATGAGCAGAGACTGAAAAGGACCAAAGCAGAGCAGTAGATGATGTGTTCCTCAACATCTCTTACTTACAGAGCTCTTTGCTAAATGTTACCTAAATGACAAACAAGCTTCATGCCACAACTTCTACATCTTCCTTTTACCACTAGTCATAAAAGTGACCTAAAAATAGCAAGAAAATATTAAAAATGGCCATATGACAAACCAATCCCCCTTCTCGCTGACACAGAGTCAACTCCCCATTACATATCAAAGGCACAACATGATACAGCCCAAAGAAATCTTTCCAGGAAACAAAAAAAAGCGTTTCAAAATGCCTCTTTTTTTTCTTTTTTTTCTTTTTTTTATAATTGCTAGTTTTTTCAAGAAGTATTTACTGGCAGCTCTTTATGTCAATACAAAAGCTCTGTTATAATCTTCAGTAAAAGCCAAATAACATTAAATTGATTAACTCTAAATTGCAGCATATCACAGCCATGTAATCAGGAGAGATTCTTTTCAGATTAGCTAAACTGAACTCAAACTCCTAAATATAATTGTTTATGTGCGCATTCGTATCTTCTGATTTCGCTTCCATGCCAAGGTGTAAATCTGCAATGCATTGTATGGCACTAGAGGTGCAGTGACATCACAAACTCCATGGTGCTTCCAMTTCAGGGGCTCAGTAAGAAGAAGCTGCCCAAAGAGTTACATATACACCAGAGTCTGGGATTAAGGGTACAAAGCGTCAAGTAAATAAAATGCCTCTACAGCCCTGAACCTAAAAGCTACCCCAACAGAGAGACTGGGTGYCAAGAAGAGACCTTCAAGAGCACCTTTGAGAGCAGTTGCATGAGGTGAGAGCTGGATGGGTCAGACATGGAATGACACCACTTCTAACCCACTGCTATTTCCACTTACCATCAAAAAAAACCCTCTACAAATTTGTATTCCTGCCTTTCCATGAAAACTGTGTCTGCATGCTGTGTTTTTCAGCCAGACACATTTCAGACTRCCAGTTCAGACTGTGCCTCCTCTGCACCCTTAGACACAATCCATGCACGCACAAGACTTTGGTCATCTCTGGTGCACTTCTTCTGAGTCCACCAATAAGCTTTCCCAAGGCTAACTTTTTACATCAGGACATGACTAATTAGAGGAGGAATGATTAATTAATTTATTTATTTTTATTTCTGGAAAGTCTTTTCATCCTTTGTTGGATATCAAAGAAGCACACAGTCCTTTCCCACTATGCTCAGGCCTAGAAAAAGAGGTAATGAGATTTTTTTTTTTTTATTTTTATGAACAGTGCTTAGTAGTGTTTTTTTCCTAACCAGTCTAAGTTACACATTCAGAAGACAGTAATGTAGTAAGACTATGTTTGGCCTAAGGAATATTTGCTGAACTGCTAGCACCAAAGGGAGCAACGGAGCTGTATCCATGTCTTCTCCAATCTGAAAAATGTTGCTATATGTAACTTTTTTGTTTATCCCACATTCATGAAAGTGCCTGTAAATGAGAGACATAACACTTATTTCAAACACCAGAGTCCTCCATGAAGACGCAGGGGCAGACGTTATGTACACGTCCTAAGAGCTCGCTTGCTGACAGCGCAGAAGATTGCCAGCGCAGTCCAAAGTCAGCRTTCATTGTTGCGTTTTTTCTTGTTTTGTTTAGCTTTAAAAAGGATCAAACACATTGTTCTGTAAGAGAGGTTTGGATCTCTTCAGTATCTTCAAGAAAGGCTTGTCTACTCTCCCACAGAAGTAAACAAAACAGCTCATGTTCTGCATTACATGAAGCACTTGTGCAACTCTTCCTTTTCTGACCTGCTCCACAGACTCCAAGAAAAATGAAATTTAAACCCTGTTGTATTCTGCTACATTGTCATGCAGCTGGAGCTATCAGCCTGCCATGTTTCCAGGACTGTAACCTGACTGTAAGCCAGATGGGTCAGATTGGCAGGAATTCCTTCAAGTAGATAAATCCCAGCATAGAAAAAAAAAAATCCACTTGGCCCATGGCAGAAGGGGCAATCACATGCCAGCTCTTTAATTAAAATTACAGCAAGTCAAGTAGCTGATRCTTTTCCCTTCTCCTGGTAAGGGGGATGAGACATTGTTCACAAGGGTGTTCTGTCGTGCCTCGCTGATCAACCGGCAGGCCAAGTCCAGGAAGAGTTTTTCSACATTATCCGATTCTTTTGCTGACGTTTCCAGATAGTACATGTCCTGTGCTTCAGAAAATTCTGCAGCTCTTTGCTGGGAGACTTCCCTCTTATCAGCTAAATCAATCTTATTACCTGCATTGATGAAATATTTTAGAAAAGGAGTTAATTTGATTTGAAAACCAAGAGAAACTGAGGTCTATAGRGAGAAATAAGAGTTTGGTGTTCAATATTTGTATGGACAGTGGTTTGGATATGTAAACCTTCATGCTCGCTCTCCCCTCCAAATAATGGATTCCCTGAAACACCCAAGTCCATTTAGTATCAGCTCATTTAATGAGATATGCCCTGCAAACATCCAAGTCAGTTCACTTTAATTTAGCACCAGTGCATCTGTTTGCTGCGATCAACCAACATGAAAGGATTTCCATTCTAAYATCTATTGAAAATTCTCCTATGCTTGCTCTGAGGAGCACTTAAAGTGCCAGTTATAGCATATGAGACACTAAATGTGATATTCATCACATTGTTACAAGCTTTTTTAGAAGTCTGGCTTGGAAGGAAGCTTTCCTCTTTCAATATTCCAGTATAGGATTTGTTTGTGGAGGCTGGAAGAGGGATGGGCTTGGGGCAGGGGGCACTTGCAGAGAAACCRACCCTTTGGTTCAGAGAGATCTGYTCAGCAGAGAGTTGATTAAAGCCTCAGATCTGATCTGATCATACACTATTGCTGGCCACTTAACTTTAAACAGGATGTTTCTGCCATAAATTAATCTTACAACAAAGGTAATGAACCAGGATCTGCAACAAGAGGCAGCTCTGTCCATGGACTCAGCAGGTTCAGAAGGAAACATCTCCTACCAGCAATTTTGTGAGAACTCTTGGAAAGAAAAGGTCGTGTTTCCACTGGCAAACCTTGTCTCATTGCCTTCTCCTCATCTGAGATCCCCTATCTCAACAAAGCAGTTTCTTGGACCCACTACATGCACTGAAGTTACCCTTCTAAACAGATTATCACTCTAAACCAGTGATTTATGAGTGTCACCATCTTCAAAGTGTGTGTAATGACTAAAATATAATTTATATGTTGTGTTGTAGATGCTAGCAATTAACTTAATGGTCACTGAAAAAATTAATGTACATTTTTTAGTCATTTATTAATTATTTCTGCACCACCTGTACCCAGGCCATACTCAGGAAGTATGAGTTTCTTGTATGGAAGCTCTAAAAAATCCCACAGCTCACTTGAAGTAGTACTGGGGCATGTAAAACTCAGAAGATTTTTTTTTTTTAAATACACTTTTAGACACGTCTTAAAATGACCTAGATTTTTTCATTTAAATAGCAAACTGTYAAAGGTGACACTGTAGCATGAAACTTTTTGGCTTTTCCCAAGTTATTTTTCCACGGTTCTTTATATATTCWTGGACCTTTAAAAGCCAAATCCCAACTATCAGATGCTGAAAGCAGAGCATGGAAAAGCACTGGTAGGCAAAATAACCTTCCCCTTGCTTGCAGCAGACAGATGGCCTGAGGTCTGTTTTGCCATGAGTTGAAGCTCTACAGATTAACATAACATTCAGTTATTTATTTTTAGTTTCCCTAAAATCCACACAAGAATATCCAGTTTTCCAGGTCTGCCCCACCTATGAATGCTACAATTCACATGACCAGCATGTTCTGATGTGGTTCCCAGATCCTGACCACTTAAGACAAGAGTGGTTSGGGTACAGCACCCTGCAGACACCACTGGCTTCAGCAGATCCCCACATATTTGTGGATATCAGAGCTTGGAGTCACACAAGGGGAACTGCTCTATYCTTAGCTTGGTTGGTAGCTGYRCCATCACCCCTTCAGTCTTTTATGWGACCAAGGGGTGGGAAGCATCCCCCTCTGCACGCAATAGCCCTAGACCCAAAACAGGACCACACTTCAAGGAGTGGCCAYGGCATCCTGAACACTGTTATCAGCATCCCGGGGTTATTTGCAGAAGGAATGGTCCAGGCACTGGGTTCAAGCCTGTACCCTGTGGCAGCAAGACCCACCGCAGCAGCACAAGCACCCTGCAGCCCCAGCTCTCAGAGATGCCAGGGTCTCCTCCTGCTGCCCTCTCCATCTGCCACCCATCCCTCAGCACACCCTGCTGGCGAGGGGCACGGCCACTCACCCACGAGCACGGTGATGACCTTGTTGCTGGCATACTGCTCGATCTCCCGCAGCCACTCGGGGAGGCAGCGGAAGGACTCCTCGCAGGTGATGTCGTAGGTCAGGATCAGCGCGTTGGCGCTGCGGTAGTAGCTCTGCGTGATGGACCGGAACCGCTCCTGGCCCGCCGTGTCCCAGATCTGCAGCTTTKGMMATAACAACAGTGGTAAAAAAAAAAMAMAMMAAMAAMAAACAAAAAAAAGTTATTTAATTTCTTTTTCTATTTGGTAGCAGCACCATTTTGACTCAAAAAATTCTCCTTCGGYRTAAAACCAGTGCTGGGAAAGCACTTAGCTCTTCTCCCTTTGGCTTCCCTTCCCCCAGCATTATTTGTTTCTGTTCCTGCACTTGTGGATTGAAATGCAAGGCACAAAGTCAGCTGGCACTGCGGCCCTGGAAGCTGCAGGTCTGTCAGCTTCCATGCAACTTGTAGCATTTCCCTCTGCAGTGGGCAGAACTGCCAGCCTGGTGGGGCTAGAGGGAGAAAGTCACTTCTCCCACCCCTGAAGTCCAACAATAGCAGTTTCCATTCCCAAGAAGGAATAAGAACACCTCTCCTCTAGCTCACTGGGATGGTTTTAGCAATCCAGAGACAATGCAGTCAGGGGTGGAAAGCACAGAATTGAACAAGGAGCTCAGCCAAAGGCTTATCTAAGGTTTGGAACACATTTCCTCTCTACAGCTTCAGCTGTCTCATCCAGCTGCTCACTGCTTTCTTTCACAACATGTAGAATTGGCTGACATGTCCTTCTACATCACAGAATCCAAAATTCTTTGGGTTGGAAAGGACCATCTTGTTCCAAGCCCCCTGCCATGGGRCAGGACACCTTCCTCTAGACCAGGATGCTCARAGCCCCATCCAGCCTGGCCTTGAACACTCCCAGGGATGGGGCATCCACAGCTTCTCTGGGCAACCTGTGCCAGTGCCTCACCACCATCAAAGAACTCATGAATGTTTGCCAAACCCTCTGGATCCATGAAGAAAACATATATTTCCCAATACAAAATACACTCATACTGGTTTTATATTTTCATCATGGGATAGTTTTTGGTGGGCCATCAAAACTCAATTCTTCAAAAAGGAAGTCTAAGAAACAAACACCCATGATTAACACATTTCAAGATAAAACGGTATTTCTCTGCTTCAGCTTTTACTTTTTTAAAGCATCTCTCCCTGGAATTAAATATGTGGAAGGATGATTTCCTGCCAAAATCCTGTGTACTTTGGGAAAAAAAAGGCAAAGTATTTGAGATTTTTTCCATATATTCAGCAGCCTTATTCTTCCCCAGTTCCAAAATTGAGCTACGCCAGCCACTCATCACAAATATGTTAGTTTAAAATGAGAGCTCATAGCAGCAGCTTTCAGATGTGGGGTATAATTTTGAAAAAAAAAACCCAAAAAACAAAAACATCACACCTTTTTTTTCAGAGAAAATAATTGTGGCTGGCTCACAGCTCCTTTGTGCTTTAATCTCTTGGAATAGTTGTACTTAAATGGCTGAACCTGGTATCCATGAAGTGACACACAAAACCATAAATGAAATTACTTGCACATGAAAACCAGATAATGAATGAGTCCTTGTTAAAACAAACCAGCCTCCAAACTCTGGCAGATGGAAAGATACAGATTATTCTGTTGTTACTCAGCTGTTTACCAGGAAAAACATTTAATCACTGTCTACTGGCTAACTCCAGCTTATATGTGTTCTGCCTTTATTGAGAAGATCTCCAAGCTGATAAAAACTTGATGTGAAKATGTTCTTCCATTGCTTTAATCTAACAGATACTGAAGGCAGAAGAGATTGTGTTGGGGAGAGTAGACATGAGTTTACCTGTGAGCTGGGTGCAGAAGGCAGGGAGGAGCCACCAGTCTCACAGCCACTGTTAAACTCTTCCTGCACACAAAATGCACATCTCACACTTTCCCTCACTGCTCATTTTTGTCAAATAAAATATTTCACACCAACTATTTTGTTTGTACAGTATTTTTTCCCCCAGAATAACCAAAGAACCGTGTCTGACTCAGCCTGCAAAAAACCTAGATGTTTATTTGCTTGGTGTCAGCTGATGCTCCCAACGTTTGTACATATATTTAGCTTTCCACCAAGTACAATGAGATCACTGGTCCATATAGCACAGCCCTCTGCYCACAGCACTGAGGATGCTTAGCTTTGACCAGCATGACAACTGCTATCTGCTTTACTTCAATTTGTGGGCCCTCTYGCACATATTTTTGGAGTTTATTAAAAGAAGCCAGGCAGATCAAAATCCACAACTGCACACTGCTCTCTCAGCTCACTGGGCAGTGAGCTTTGGTARCTGCTCAGACCTGGAAGAGCTTGCACACAAGCTTTCCTACCAGCAAGTCCCTCTCCACTAACTTTCTAATGCAATTTTGAAAGCTGGAAAGTATTTTTCCCCAGAAATCCATAATTTATTTTTAAGTCTGAAAACTTTTTTCGGTAAACAGCTCTGCTCTCTCATTCTGGATCCCAGCAGACATGCTGGRGAGGCTGCCCAGCACAGAGGCAAGAGTCATGGCTCGGGCACTGCTAAATGAGCTAACAGCCAGAGCAGCTCTCTTCTCTGACTCATTCCTGCTTTTCCACTCATTAAATGTTTATTCTCACAAGAATTGCTTACTCAAAAAATTTCAGCTCTTTTTCTGAAAAAATCTGTTTGCCCTGCAGACTCCATTGGCTCATTCCAATGCCCAAATGTACCATACTGAGYTCCCACCAAGGCTTGGTCACTGAGGCTGAGCTCCAGCAGTTCTGATTTATGGCACTGCTGGGGGCAGGAGATTGGCTTTAGGAACACAGTTTTTGCCATGTGAAATACAGCTGATACACCAGCTCACACTTGCTAAGGCTCGGTGACACATAATCCTGCCCCAAGGTGATTCAGAGAGGACACTTGTGCATTCATCAGATATTTGCAGGGCAGCAGGGACTTTCATTTAGCTTGCASAGCTTCCCTGAACCATCCTTACCCCTGAGACAGCCCATACTGGCACATCTACTTCCAACATTCTCTTAAGAACTTTGCACCCTCAGTCCAAATAAGTCTTAAAAGAGGATTATATCACAGGAGCAACACTTCAAACRCAGACAAATCCTTAGGGTAAGTTCACCAGAACAAACCCCAGACCTCCTATACAAGTTCTTAAGGCTCCATCAGAATTTGATGGAGAACCAGATGTTTAAAAAGGAGAGGTATCTGAAGCAGATGGGATTCATGTTCCCCAAGACTCTTCTTCTCCCTCTGATGACCAGGACAGTCTTGAGACTGCTGGTTTAAACTATGTCCATAAGAAAGAACAAATTCCACCTCCAGTGCAGTGATTGCACCATTTACCAGCTCAGATCCTCTGAGTTGCTTCACTGGAGCTGCTTTTGGCTGAAAGAAACATCTCTGCTCTCTGAGGAGCTTGGGACAAGAAGCATTCACGTCCTGGCCAGCCTTGCTAATGAGCGTCACAGCCACCAAGCTGAGCACAGGGGCTACGCGTGATCCTCGCTGCTTCCCTGCCTCTGCTCTGCCCACTTGCACAGCCAAGTGCTGAGTATCACCCTGGTCTTTTTCAGGTGAAGCATTTTCTTATCCTTCAGCTGCTCAGCTGAGAAGGTCTCCTGGTGAAGCACCATCACTTTCCATAGGTCTGCCAGCTCCTCACACAGCAGAGTGGCAGCCTGCTAACATGACCATGGCTCTTAAAATAAGTGCTAAACTTAGCAACACAACACCCCATTTTCTTCTTAAAAGCCCTCTGTGGTGAAATACAGGTTAAAAAACAACAAAACGAGGCTGCAAATCTGCCCAAGTACACTGTTTCCATCCCATCACTTACACATGCTTAAAAAAAGGTCTCAGTGTCACATCCAGACACTCTCACTGGTGCCACGCTCACATTTGCTCACCATTAGATTTGATAAAGGCAGCATGGGGAATGCTGATGATTTTCCCTTTGGTGTCCCTGAAGTTCATGAAAGCAGAGTAAATCCAGGAGCAGCTCAAGGACCATGGACACCTTGATATTAAAGGCTCAAATAACCATACTCTTCTCTCATCTAACACGTCACAGTAGCTCAAGTGAAATCTCTACTGATGAATAAAGTGGTAGCAGCCAACATTTCTGTGCTCTGGAACCCAACCATGGATCCCATTAAAGCATGAGATTGGTCCCCAATGTGTTTTGGCCCAAGCAAAGTAACTCTCTGCCAAGTGATGCTCAGGCTCAGTTTGGGAGTTAGCTTGGGACAAGGACAGTTTCCCATCAGCAGTTTGGTAGCAACCACCCTATTTTAGGGGGTGAAATATTTAATAACATGGAGAACTTTGCTCTTTGTAGTTCAACCTGTTGGCTCAAACACCAGTGYTGTGATCATCTCTCCTTCTCCCAAATCTGTAGCTTGGCAGAAGTGAAAGATGAGCCTTTGCTGTGCAGAGACACATGAGTCCAGAAGCCTCTTCTCCCCAATCTTGGGAGCTCCCAGGGGAAGACTTTCCTTAAACACATGGCAGTGGGAACGCAACATATTTCTGCTTACCAGAACCATGGTGAGCAGAGGCTGCACTGAAAAGSTCCTTTGGGCTTCCCCAACCCCAGMCAGACACAACCTTAAGCAAGGAGTTTTGCAAGACCTCCCTGCTCCATTTTCTCCCTTCCAGAAGGTTCTCTGTTACAATCCTGATGGTAATGGTGGAGAGGGGCAGAGGGATTGTCAAACCCTGCACTGTCCATGCCAYGCCAGACAGCTCCAACCTTCCTCAAGTATCTTCCAGCAGTGGAAACCTCAGCTATGGTATTGCCACATGAATTTACACTTAAAATCATCAGGCTCCTACCTTTACTTTTTCGCCGTTTATCTCCACAGTTTTAATCATAAAGTCAACCCCAATCGTGGCTCCTTGCCCTGGTGGGAAAAGCCCCTGGAAGAAAACAAGAGTTTGATTAAACTTATTTCTACAGCAAGATAAAACTCTCACTCGGTGCCAATCCTCACCCTTTTCCATCTTCAAAACATTCATTGTCCGCTTCCCATGACACTTATTTCCATCACATTTAGAGTGCGACATTTCCCCATCATGAAGGTTACCATAATTCAACCCTGTTGTGTTTTCCCTGCTTTATGCATCCCTAATTGTGTAGCAAGTCACCTTACTTCAGAGGTAGGAAAACAGGAAAAGAAAAAGAAGAAAAAAGAGAGGGGGAAAGCCCTTTTGTGCAGTTGGAAGAGGCAGGGGAAGGGTAAGCGAGGACCTTTCCCGTCTTCCCAATGCACTGAGAGATGTGTGAACAACTGTGTGAGATGAGATGCCTTTTGCTCCTGCAATCTCATGCCTTCCCTATTTCCTCCACAGCACCCCTTGGCACCAACAGGCATTTCTGGCAGCTCTCAACAGTGGGGTCACATCTCTGCACAGCATTTCAGGGGTGAAGCACAGAGCCAGCCATCACCAGTGCCACAGCAATGGCAAGGGACAGCACGATGCTGGTGATGTTTGATTGCAGCATTATCAGAAAGGAGCAACAGCAAATTAAATGAGAGCTTTTTGATTTCTGGTCTACCAAGTCCTGTTGATTTTGGGGCACATCCATCCCCAACAGCAGCTGTGCTGCCAAAGAATGAGCAGCCGAAGCGGTCAAAGATATTTGCTGTYAACCTTTTGGGTTTGACTGGCTTTATTAACACCACATGTTTTTGGAGAGCATGTAAAATCACTATAGCTTTGAAACTAAAATTAACAGCAAAGGAGAAATTGCTGACAATTCCTAGCGGTCAGTGCAACCAAGCCCCCACAACTTGTGCTTTGTAATGCATCATGCAAAGCCTTCCCCTGCCCTGATCACAGAAGCATGGTCCTTTCCCTGCTACTCTGCCACTAAAAAAGACACTGGACTGACAGCTCAGGAAYCAGATTATTTATTTACTAATGACAAATAACAGAGAGAGCTTTGTGCAGCAGGGGTTGGTGAGAAGACCAGGAGACACGTTCATCCTTACAGCTGGTTCAGAACACCACCAGAACAGGAGTTGTCCCAGTGGCTTTCAGAGGGGACTTTCTGCCTTCAGAGAGGAATGAGTTYTGGCCAACACAGAATCCAGACCAGGGCCAGGTGCAGCACCAGACACAGAAGCGCTGCTGGTACCAGTATGGCACTGCATGTGACACACAGAACCAAGGCTGCGATGCTGGCAGAGCCCCCAGGGCAGAGCCACAGGCTCCATGCTCCCATCCCAGTGCTGTCCCCATCCCCACATCCCACAATCCAAAGGGTGGCCAACCTTACCTGAGTGAAGCGACGGACTAAGCAGGTCTTCCCCACACCGGCGTTGCCGATTAAAACAATTTTGAAGAGGAAATCATAATCTTCCATACTCATTTACGCAGCTGCAGGAGAGACAGAGAGCACAACACGGTGTGAACCAAGGCRGTGGGGACATGCCCTTTTATCCCTGCTGAGCTCCAAATGTGCAGAACAAAGGTCTCTTGGCACACACATTGCTCCTCAGATAAGGGAGAAGAGCACTTCCCATTCTGAGCTGGGGCATCCACGTAGTCAGTCAGCTGCTGTGAAACCTTGGCCCCATTTTGGTTCTTGTGCAGTCTCACCTGGCTGCCCACAAGCCAAGAGATGCTGCTTTTCAACTTTCCAAGCAGTGCTCCACAAACCTGAGACACTGATTCCTAGATGTTSCCAAATGTTTGTTTTGCTTTTAACTACATCAGCTCCAAAGGACAGCATGGACTTGGTCATATTGTCTGAGAGGATCATGTAATTTATTCCTGTTAGGGCAATACCCCAAATCCTGCCATGAACTCCTCCAGGAGGGCACTGGGTRCACACAGTGCAGGGCTAGGGCAGAACTGGTAGGGAACTTAATTCAAAAACAAAAGCAGCAGTGTTTGCCTTAAAAAAAGAAAGAACTCATGTGCTAAAAGTGTAGTGAAAAGTGGGGCAACAGCTGCAGTACATTAAGGGAGGTTTTTATAAGAGAAGAAATAATAGCTGCTTTTAGRAATGTTACTACTATGATCATTTTCCTTAGTTTTGTGAAGACAGACTGCTTGAATGGAAAGTAAGCAGAGAGGAGCTTAGGAACTATCCAGCACACATTCCATGCCCTAAGTTCAAGCTCCTTGGCAGGATGCAGAGACTGACATTCCAGCAATGTCACAGGGTTGCCTGCATGGGGGAAGCCCCACATGGCTTCCTACACCACTCACAGCATGGGGAGGACCAAATGCAGAGTTTGCTGCAACCGAGCAAGTCTGGAGGGATGAGCACCCCCACCTGCATCTCCAGGGCTGCTCAGGGTCTGCCAGCACTGCACCCAGAGAAGGGGTCTGCAACCTTCCAGGAAAGCAACAACAGCCAGAAGAGACTCAGCTGGAGATTTCGGGCAGAAAGAAAAGCCCAGAGACAAGGGAGCAGGAGGGCAGTGTCCAAACCCAGCTATGTCCAGAGGATCCAGGTATTATGTATGGCATCAAAGACCTGTCCTCAAGACTGCTCACCCAGCAGTACCTACARATTAGGTAATTAACAAGGAGATAGAGTCAAAGAGGGTAAGTGTAGAAGTATGGGGTATGTCGGTGCAGAACAGGGGGAAAAGTATTATAAAGGTGCTATTCTCAATAAATCCCCAAAGTGCTTAGAGGATTCTTACAGAGCTGATGAAGGGAGCAAATGCAGCTGGGCTGAAACCAGCTTCTCATGCTCAGTCCAAAGCCAGAGTGCTGTCTCCCACTGCCTCCAAAGGCCCTTCCTTTGCACACACCAGAAAGMTCCAGCTACAGACTCCAGTCCCACCAAAAAGCCATGATAGGCTTAGAGTCAAACAASCAGAGAATACAAGAGAAAACTGAGACAGTCTGGATCTGCCTGGCAGGGCACACTGAAACAGCTCTCCAAGCACCACCAAGAGTCTGGCAAAAGAGGTAGAAGACTGACTCAGCTGCTTCACATCTAAGTGGCCCTTGGCCTTTCCAACAGCCTAAAAAAAGGGTAACCACACCAATTAGTGACTAATGAGCTGCATCACATCAGCAGATGGTTCGAAGGAACACAGCTGAGTCACTGCACAGACGTGTCACTTCACCTGGGTCAGGGGCACAGTGCAGCAAATGCCACCAAACAGTAGCAGGAGGAGGTGTCCTGAGAATGCTCTGACTTCACCTTGCTCCAACACACAACACCTCACAGCTCCTTCCTCTCTCTTAGTACAGTGAAAGAGTGGGACCTTAAAGAACAGCCAAAAAAAAAAAAGCCCTTTTAAAATATTCTGAAGTTCTTATTTTGTGTAATCATTTCATATCCCCATGACTGGCTTTCCCATAGTGCGACTGGATAACAACAGCAATGTTTARCACATGTTGACAGTGCTCTTAAATGAAGAATAAATGTCAATATAAGGTTTCAAGCTTTCACACTAGCTTCTTCCATGAAGAAAAATGTGGTCATCCTCTAAAAGCTATTTCAAGACTAATGATACTCACACAGCACAGCATAATTATTCCTGGGATTCTTCATACCCCAGAGGGTACGCTCCCCCCCAGACAGATTTCAGTTCCATTACTTGCACCCTAAACAATCCAAAATGCAAATTTATCTTCTTAGGAAGCTTAAAAATAAACTTTCTCTGCAGATCTTTGAGGTCAGAAATGTGAAATGGYTCAGACATACCCTAGAGTTATGTCTGATCCCCTTCATTAGGCTCTAGGAGTAATCATATGCGATAACAACCCCAAACGGGAACTGAAAGACGAGCCAGGAYCATAAAACAAACTACGCAACAATGAGATTAAATGCCAGAACTGAAGAGACACAAGAAGTCAGGGCATGGGAGAGGAGAAAGCAAAGGAAGCAGCAAGGAAGGGTGAGGAGAGGCAGAGTGCAGCTGCCCATCGCTGGTGTTTCCCCCTGTGAGTGTCCCCAGGGCTCCCCAGCTCGCTGCAGTGCCAGGCACACACACGGCCCCGGCCACACTACCAAACCCTCTGCTCCTGCACGCCAAACCTCGCAGCCAAGTGACCTTTGCTGCTGACTCAGGCTCACRGCACCCTCCCTGTCCCCAGAGATGTGCCTCAACCTCTGCCCCACTGCCACAGCTGGGGAATGTGCATCTCAGCAATACAGCACGCTGAATTATGTACTTTGAAAAAAAAATAAAACAAAACAAACGCAGAGCCACAACTTTTCTATTTGTTTTTGTTTTCTTGGTTTGTTTGGGGTTTTTTGGGGGTTTTTTTGGTTTTTTTTGGTTTTTTGGTTTTTTTTTTGTGGGTTCCCTTTGTTTTTTTCTCCTCTCTTTTCTTGTGTTTGCAGGTGCAGAGCTCTGCCTCACATCCCTGCACCAGTTTAAAGAGTTTGGAATGCAGCTGCCTGTCCCACCCTCTGGAGGAGACAAAACCCTGCAGCGAGGGCAGGGGATGGGATGCCAGTCCATGCCTCAGCCACCCCTCATCCCTATCATTTCAATCAGCACAGAGACATGCCCTGTCATGAGGTGAAGCCCAAGGCTGGGAGCAAGGCAGCAAATTTGGTTTCACAGCTGTTTTTCCCCAAGGCAGTTTATGCAGCTGGCATCCCAACCAGYCTCACACAGGATCAGTTTTGTGGGGTTTTACTTGATTTGTGTCACTGTTCTGCTCCACTCCATCATGTGACCTCACAAACARTTACTCTGGGCAGAACAAGAGGACAGGAGGGGTAAATTGAAGCAGGGCAACCACCTGGAGAAGTGGTTCCTCAGTGGGAATCAGCTAAAGGACAACAGGACATATTTTAGGCTTAGCTAGTTTTCACAGAATCATACAATCATTAAAGTTGGAAAAGACATCTAAGATCATCAAGTTCAGCACTGCCAAATCCACACTAAAGCATTTCCCTAAGTGACACATACACATCTTTTTCAAACACTTCCAGGGATRGTGACCCCACCACTTCCCTGGGCAATCCATTCCAGTGCTAAAAGGGATCACCCTTTTAGTGATGAAGCTTTTCCTAATACCCAATCTAGATTTCTCCCTGATGCAACTTGATGTTTCCTTTCATCCTATTGCTTTTCACGTGGGAGAGCAGACAGATCCCTACCTCACTACAGTCTCCTTTCAGTTGTAAAGTGACAAGGTCCCCCCTGAGCCTCCTTTTCTCCAGGCTAAACACTCCCAGCTCCTTCAGCCACTCTTCACCAGACATGTGCTCCAGTCCCCTCATCAGTTCTGTTGCCCTTCTCAGATCCACAACCTCAGTGTTTCTCCATTGGGGAAATACAGTGCAATAAATGCTCTCGGTATKCTTCAGTTATTAATTCCAATCCAACCAAAACACTGGCAAGATCCACCCAAACCAAAAGCACAACGACCAGGGACTTTCACCTCTCCTTCTCCCACCCAAGCTTGTACAAACAAGCTCCTGCTCCCATGGATTCCCTGAAAAGGGAATGCAGAAGCTGTGGGCTGCTTTCCCCATGCTCATGTTCAGCTGCTGTAGAGCAGCACTCCATATCCTTTTCCACCAAGCAGCTTCCCAGYCATTTTTCCCCAAGCCARTAGTGCTGGCCTGGGGTTGYTGTGATCCAAGTTCAGGACCCAGCACTTGGCCTTKCTGAGCCTCACACAGAGGTTCAGATCCAGCTGTGCCTCAGGTCTAGCCTGTCCAGATTCCTCTGCAGAGCCTTCCTGCCATCCAGCAGATCAACATTCCCACTCAGGTGCTCTTGATCCCCCCTCCAGATCATTGATAAAGATATTAAACAGCACTGTCCCCAAAACTCAGCCCTTGGGAACACCACTTGGGACCAGATGCCAGCTGGATGCAGCTCCATTCACCACCTCTCTCTGGGCTCAGCCACCCAGCCAGCTTTTTTTCCCAGTAGAGCTGGATAAAAAAATGAAACAGAACAAAGAACAAACTATCCACAGCTGCACAAGTTCCTCCACATTTATGGATAAAGACCAAAACCATATCAAGCCAGGAATACTGATAATTTGCACCTCAGCTCYATCCCATCTCAAAATCCCATTACAACTTACCACTGCAATCAGACACAGAGAAGGATCTGCAGCCTCTTCCACCTGCTGGATCTAACAGTAGGTCAGGCAGCTTTTGATGTATTTATACAGTTCTTGATAAACAAGTAGTTTCTGTTCATCATCCAACAGCTATAAACAAAAATAAATTTATCCAAACATCTCAAGTTCAAACAGCAGCAATTATGTACATGAGCCACAAAATTCAAAGCTAAGGCTAATATTTCAAGCAGAAAATTATTCCTCACAGGCCAGAAAATTGCAGAGAATTCAGATCTGGACACGCTGCTGCGTTACATAACTCAGGATAAAGTATTTTCATTTCCTAAGCACCTGCCAACCCAAGCAGGCTCCTGCACTTGGCAAGCATGAGCCCAGCTCATGCCCCTCTGCAATTGAGCCTGGATTTCCTTCTGCTTCCTTGACCACCTCCCTCGTTCTTCATCTCCACAAGGTTTAATTTCACTTCCATTCACACTAGAAAARTTAGGAGGAATTTGATTCCCAATAAAGTCTGGATTGCGCATGCCTCTGTGGTGACAAAGCCATAGGTACATGGGATCCATGCTCTCAGCGTGGTGCAACTTTAGAACTCCAGGAATGTCTTTTCCAAAATCAAGGAAGAAAGACTTATTGTAGGCACTTGGGTTTGCAGAGCTCAGCATTTCCCCACTCCTTCCATCACATTTGCCATTTCAGATGAGCTAAATCCAGCAGCCTGTGCTGTGACAATCCTAAATATGCCTCTTAAGGACAGGGCAGGATGCTCTGTGGTGGCACTCACACTTGAGATGCCCTGGCTTTACCCCAGCCCRTGGCTGGACACCAGGTGTAGCTGCCTGCAGACTGCCCTCTCCATCTGCCTGCTTTACCARACACCAGAGGCTACAGATCTCACATTCAGGAGCAATCTTGGGATTTTCACCTGTCCCTGGCACACCCTGACAGCGAAAAGGCTTTGTGCCCAAGCTGCCCACTTCTGGGTGACATTTTCTCATGGGCTCTGCTAACACTGGTGTCAAGAGCACCATTAATACACATCATTCATCTCTTTGGGTTGGATGGTGGAAAGGTGGGGTCTGGGTTGGGAACATCCTTGTGGATCTCAGTKTCACCAAAGGCTCTTCAGGAGAGATCAGGCAAGTCACAGATTGCCTGGTGCAGTGTCCTCGTCTAACTTTGTCACCTCCTGGAGAGAAGGGAGACTTGGTGACATTGGTGCACATCAGTGCTGGGAACAGCCATGGAAGTGCTAAATATCCCATGCAGACAGCAAGTTAAATTCCATCAAACACATCTGAGGATTGAACGGATAATCAATGATAATTCTCCTCACACAGATAAACCAATCAGATTTCTGCATTACATAGGAATAACAAGATACACACAGTAGTTACAAAATTATAAACAGAACATTAATTTGTTTAGGATTAAAAAAAAAACTGCGGACACACACAGCCACAGTGCCTCAGTGGGGTCTGACCAAACCACACACCATCTTCAGAAAACTAGTTCAGAGCATGAGAACAGCCTCACACTCCATTTACTGTCAGAATCCAGCGTTTCACTGCAAAAAAAAGTTGCTGCAATATTAACACGTGCTTTTATAAACAACTTTTACTACAAGCCTGGAGATGGAGACAATACTGCACACTCTGAACAACACTCCGTTGGTCTTGGCTACGTTTTAGCACATCCTGAGACCACCAAGCTGTACACAGGCTTTGCAGCAACAKGTTTTTGTGTGTTGAAGCAGTTACAAACTCAGCCAGCACAGCAGACAGGCTGACTTCCAAGTGTGGAAAAAACTGCATTGCCAGAAATCCAGCCAAAAAATGCTGTTTCATCCACTCAAAAACAAGAGCCTCTTCCCAAAGGGGGAAAGAAAAACCCAACAAAATTATTTTTTAAACTGCAGCAAAGCAAAAACTGAAACATATCTTGCATGGAAAAGCCAGGAAAGGTTACTAAGTAAAGCTCTCTATGTGAAATAAAGCTCCCACATCAAGATCTGACCCACCAAAATGGGGGAACCCACCAGCAACTCACGTGAGATTTTCTGTCTTTAGGAACCAGGTGCAGGATGAGGCTGAACCCCAGGTGTCCCCCACGAGGTTTCTGGGGACAGTGAATCTATGAGCAGTGATGTGCAGGCTGCCCAATTCGCAAGGAGGCAAAGCCAGTGGAGAAATGAATCCTCCGTTTAAAAGAATGGCTTGTGCATGTCAAATACACAAAAAGCAAAGAAGTCTCCTGATGCATTAGTTTGCTGGTCTGGAATGGGTTTGAGTGGCATCATSATCATATGCAGAGAAGTTTTGAAACTGGGTGACAAGGCTCTGCTAAAAACCTTGCAAGATTAGACAGCTTGACACCATCATTTTTGAAAATCTACAAGAATAGCTGTCATAACTAAAGAATTTCAATAACATATTTACAGGAACATCGTGACTCAAATGGGGTTACAAGTGCAGAATTAGCACAAGTGCAACTGTGCCATTTAGCAGGGACATAAGAATGATAAATGTATTGTGAACTATGAACATGTGCCTTAGACACACTTTCATAACCCAGACCATCCAAGAAAATTTTCTTGAGTTTTAACTGCAGTRACATGTCTCACTGCTGTTGACCATCTTGTTTTCATTATGTCAGAGACTGTGGTATGAACAAAATTTTTAAAAAAATTCTAATAAGGTTTTATTTAGCAAGAATGCTTTTTAATTGAAAAAAWAARCCATTATTTCCACCTCTTCAGTTCTGCTTAATCAAGCTTCTGATTTACKGGGATTTACATCACTTCTCCTTCAAACCTATTAGAAGTAATAAGTAATTAAACCTCAGCTAATTGCACTTTCAGGTGTCTGAAAGGTCTGGGTTGTGCTTGGTACCTCACAGCTTGGGCTGTGGGCTCCATGCAGCCCTGCTATGCCATGTCATACCTCTGGTGAAGGCCAGCCTGTCCCAAATCAACAGGACCCTGGAGCAGCAACCAAAAGGCTAAAAAAAAAAATAGCTTTTGGCTTAGGACAGATATATCATACCTAATGTTTATAAAATATAGAAATATATTCCAAAATACACCACATATATATATATATAAAGTAATGTGTATTTAAATATATAATTTGTATATATTATAAATATGTAATCAAAATATTATATTAGTAATAAATTAGCAATACCAGCAGCAGAGAAAGAGGCAATTAGAAGGATAAAAATCATAGATACATACAACAGTTTGGGTTGGAAAGGACCTATGAAAATCATGCCTGGAAGTGTTCCAGGCCAGGTTGCATGAGACTGAGTAATCTGATGTAGTGGAAGGTTCCCTGCCCATAACATGGGGGTTGGAATCAGATGATCTTTAAGATCCTGTCCAACCCAAACCATTTTAGGATTSTTCAATAACACTTCATTGMGAGRAGCTSAACCCCAAACTCACACCTCATGCATTTTGTTACAGCGTGAAGTGCAGTGAAGCAGCCTCCTCCAAAAAATTGGAGGAGGAAAGTTAAAGGAACTTTATCCAGGAGCAAGCACAAAATTGTCAGGGCATTTAYTTGCAGAGTTCAACTAACCCACCTTTAGTCAGTAATTTGCATTTTGGTTACAGGGGCAGCYTCTTCCTGGTGACACAATAAGGTGGCTTTCACTCCCAGGCAACACTTTCAGGCATGCCCCCTAATTCAAGGGCAATCCTGCTATGACAGAGTTGTTAAGAGAAAAGGTTTTTGGTTTTTTTTTTGTTGTGGCTATTCTTCAACTTGCACGAGAAAATAAAGAAGTGACCCTGTGCTTCARCTGGAGGCTCCCTTTTCACAAGCACACACACATCAGCCAGCCTGTGCATCACACCTKTGCCACCACAAYAGGAAAGGCAGCACTTTGCCACAGYACGTTTGCATTTCAGAAGGACTTCTGCCTCTGTTATACCTCTTAATGGAAGGTTTCTTAACTAGAAATAAGAGCACTTTTGAACATGAAGTGATGGAGGAATAAAACAGAGTTGAGCGTTACAGGCTTTTGTTAAGGTGGCAGAAGGAATGCAAAGGCATTGGTTATTTAAATCYTTACAGGAAAACAGATAAAAGGGCTGGAGCAGCTGAGGGCAGCTCATCTCCCAGATCCCCATYGCCTCCAAAGATGAGCTTGGAATCCCAAAACAGGGGACCCTCTCTGCCACTCAAGTCCAGTTTGGGGTGATAAATTCTGCGCTGTTCCTAGGCTGATTATTGCAGCRGTGGTCCTCAATTTGCCACCAGCTATTTCCAGATGGGAAGCACATTTCAYCTCTAACAGTCAGGCTCAAGCACACAAGCATGCATGCTTCAGCTTCCCAATGGAGCTACASCACCAGCACAGCCATTGTATTTGCCCTCTGAGAAGTTTTCCCCTCTAAAAATGGTCTCATCTGATGGAAACCCCTCAGCTGGGATCTCAACCATCCCATCTGGCAAGGGACTGAGCTAGCAGGGAATATTCTTTGCATTTCTGCAAAGAAACACTGCAGTACAGCTTTAACTGTGGGTATCTGCCAGAGCAGCAGATGTTTGACGAAAACAAATTGTTCAGAGAGGGAAGAAAGTAGAAACAATAGAGACTTGGGTGTAGCTTCAGGACTGGCTTAAGCTGAAGTTTCCAAAGGGAAGGCTTCCAGCCTGCCTGCTCCAGACAGCTGCAGGAGGGACCTAAGCCAGATGGGAAAAAAAACCCTGAGGGTGGGACAGCAGGATTAGACTTTACAGCCTGGGTTACAGGGTTTAATTTGGTAAAGAAGTATGTTTACTATCTTGATATCTCTATGACAGTAATTTCATATCATAGCTCCCAAGTATGATTTTTTATAAGGATATCACAGGTCTCTTCAGAAGGTAAGGAACAGTTTTCATGTTTTGGTTACATTTTAGCTCTCACACRCTAATGCAGTTCCCCTTATAGTTTCAGGTGGTTACAATACTTTTTATTTATCCTAAACCACTACAAAAGTGCCTCTAGTCTTCTATCTGCTGTTAAAACCTCATCTCAGCTTTGGACCAGCTACTATTCAAGAAACTGCAGGGGGTAGATTTGGCATTAGAACAAATACTGAAACACAAAAAGGTAGCTCTTCAGTGGATGCTTTCTGCTCC